GTCCATGTCAAGTCACACTTGAAATCCACATTTACTAACGAAATTCAGAGGGTACTCCATCTATGGGAAAGAGACACAACAAGTCTCACGTTTTGTGTAAGAGATGTGGCCGTCGTTCGTTCCACGCTCAAAAGAAGACCTGTTCTTCTTGCGGTTACCCAGCTGCTAAGTTGAGATCTCACAACTGGGCTTTGAAGGCCAAGAGAAGAAGCACCACCGGTACCGGTAGAATGGCTTACTTGAAGCACGTCTCCAGAAGATTCAACAACGGTTTCCAGACCTCCATCAAGGATGTGTCCGCTTAAGTTTCTCTCTTATAACGTTCATCCCTAGTGTAATTAATACATCATACATTTGCAGCAACGCGGTTTATTTACTGCTGTAGATTGGACTACTAGATTACGATTATTGCAAGCACTCATCATGACATCGTAGGGCGGTCAACTTGTGCATTTGTTGTGGCATGCGCAGGTCCTTGGATATCTACGTTAGTGCAGAGGCGACAGGTGTAGTCAGTTCCCGTGTGAGTTGTACTTCGGCACCTCGTTTCTTGGTTGTCGTGACTGGACAGTCTATTTGGAGAAATAACGCAGAAGATGGCATGCAGCGAACCTTGAAAATCATCTTTGTTCCTCAAGACGCAACACCTTCTCGATTTCTCCATCACTGTGCCTCTTTGTTCATGTTATAGTACAAGTTGTCTGCCTCGTCGTGGTTCACGCACACGTTTAAGATTTCCCTAGCTATCTCGATGGTATCCAGATCATAAGGAAATTCAAGCCCATTCGCAAAGTCGCCCTCTATCCCTGCCAAATGAGTGTGCTGCTGTGGGTTGGGATTGAATAGATCGAAATGAGCCATTTCTCGGCTGCGAGACTCGCAGCTTCTGTTGAACACGCCGGTTTCCGTGAAGCCCTTAGCTCTGATCTGTGACAAGAGCTCGTGGGCGTCGAAAGAAAGCGAGTCTGAGGCGAATGCTATTCGCAGGAGCACAACGAATATCTCATAGAGCGTCTCGGGATATATCAAGGTGTTGATGTTTCTCTCTTCCTCGATGACGTAGAATAGTATACGCACAAACACCGTTATTATGGTGAGTCTCATGTGAATCAGCTGCGAGCGCGGTTGGTGTATGATGAGGTTCTGCTCGTAGCCAATGATCCTGACAATTGACTTGATATTCTCTTTCAGGTTGAGAAGATGGATTCTGCTTGAGATCGCAATCGACTCCAACAACATCACGATGCGAACACGTAGGGCGAGCAAGTGACAATCGTGTTGAAGCGCTCGGGTGAAACTGTGCTGGGTGTCTAGTTCCTGGGGCCTCACAGGGTACGGAATGGACACGAGCGTCTTGTTGAAAAGCCGCTCGGGCTCCGGGGGGACCGCCTGGCTAATTTTGTCGAGATCGAGATTGTTTCCCAAAACCCGATTGAGGCCGTAGAACATGAAGTCGTCTTTGATGCGAATGTCGATGATGAACACCTTGAGCAAAGACTTGACGAACCGCAGGTTCGAGGGGTCGTCCGAGGAGCAGAAGTGGTTTTCGTTTATGGAGGCAGACAAGACCTCGACGAGACTCGAGACCAAGTTGATTTGCACGGAAGACACAAACCGCTCGGTGTTCTCGGGAAGCACCTGGTGCATGAGCCCGACGTCCATGACTCCCAGGTCCCACATGTGGCGGGAGAACAGGGGCCCGAACTGCGAGGAGATGACGGCAGCCGACTCAAGGACGTCGAACGCGAGAACGAGAATGAGGTTCTCGAATAGCCGTTGCTGGTACGGCACAGCCTTGATGCCAGAGGACGCCTCGTCCTCCTCGTCGTGGAGACGGAGCACATGCACGAACCTGCGCAGGATCCGGCAGGAGGCTTCCACAAGCGTCGTGGCCAAGGACTCGGTGACCGCGGACGTCTTGAAGTTGGCCGCCGCATGCACGACTGAAATGAGAAACGGCACCGCCACGAGCACGCCCGGCTCTCGCTGCTCGTGGAGCCGCAAGAGCTCCTGGATGACGAGGAGAAGCAGCTCGCAGGCCTGTTGGACAAGCTTGTCCAAGCGCAAGTGGCGGAGTTGCAATAGCGCGTCCCACACGCACGACAGGAGCGGCGTGTTGGCGGCAACGGCAATGGCGCCGTGGACGCCGAGTGTCCTCTGGGAGCATATTTTCGAGAGGAACGCCATGGAGGTGCGGCCGGCCCCGTTGATCGTGTGGCGCCACAAGTGGTGGCAAAGCTGGGACCAGTCGTCCTGCAACTGGATGCGGGGGCCCTGTGCCGCGCCGTGAGCCCGGGGGGCCGGGCCGGGCGCGTCTGGCGCCGGCAGCCCTGCCCGAGTTTCCGGTCCGCCGCCCCACTGCAGAGCCTCCGGGGCGCCGTTGGAGTGGTCGGACACGCGCCGCCGCTTGACCGACGAGAGCGAGCGGAGCTCGTTGCCCAAGAACTTCTTCTCGTCCTCGAGCTTGTCGACGGTCAGCTTGAGCAGCGCGACGTGTTCCTGGGCAGAAAGGCGCAAGGCCTGGGCCTCGGCGCTAAGCTGGGCAACTTCACGAGACCGCAGGTTCTGGAGCGCCTCGAGCTGGGCCCTCAAGATGGAGATTTCGCCCTGGGCCCGGAACAACGGCAGCGGGGCGGCCTGGTGGTGTGGGGCTGCGGGCGCGGCGGCGGGCGGCGGTCTGGGCGTGGCCCCGACGAGCTGCAAAAGCAACGCGTCGTCGTCGTCGTCAAAACTGGAGTCGGACATCTGGCAGGCTCTGGTGTGGGCATGCAACGGTGGGGCTGTGCGGTGCTATTCGCCTATTGACTATGGGAACCTTGTTGGATGGTGACAATCTTGTTGGATGGTGACAATCTTGTTGGATGGTGAGTATAATAACCTTATTAGTCGGTGAGAAGAACCTTGTTAGTCGGTGAGTATAAAAACCTTGTTGAATGGTAAGTATAACAACCTTGTTAGTCGGTGAGAAGAATCTTGTTGGATGGTGACTATGAGAACCTTGTTAGAAGGTGAGTATAATTACCTTGCTAGATGGTGAGTATAATAACCTTGTTAGATGGTGAGTATAACAACCTTGTTGGATGGTAAGTATAATAACCTTGTTAGTCGGTGAGAAGAACCTTGTTGGATGGTGACTATAATAACCTTGTTAGTCGGTGAGTATGAGAATCTTGTCGGTGAGAAGAACCTTATTGGAGTATGAGAACCTAATTACTCAGCGAGTACAAGAACCTTATTAGTCGAGTACAGGAACCGTGTTAGTCCGTGAGAAGAACCCTATCAGTCGGTGAGTATAACAACCTTGTTGGTCGGTGAGAACCGCGGCTGCTCAGGCACATCGCTGCCCAGCAGACATGAACACGCAGGGCCATGACGAGGGCCCGTCACGTGCCTGTTTTTTGCCGCAAATCGCCCCGCGCCCCCAAACCAAGAAATATGCCCCCACGCATAGATAAAAACAGCACGGCCAGTGCCCCGGGACGCGTGCCGCCAGCCCCTGCCCGGGCGTCGGCGTGCTCTGCAGAAACCAGTGGTTTGGCCCGCCGCCAGCCGCGCAGACAGCGCCCGTGCCCCCGGAACTGGGGGTGACTACGGGCGCGTCACGTGACGCGCCAGTTCCGGGGCCGCAGCTCTTCTCCCGAAAAAAAGACGCGCGCCTGGAAAAGTCATCGTGCACCCTCCAGGCCATCGCTTCTCGACCCAGCCGTATCGCCCTCCCACCCCGGCTTTTCTTCTCGGCACCCCCAGTCTATACACATCCATGACGGACGCCAAACAAGACTCCAGAGTGCAGGACAAGCCTGCCGCCGGCGCCCCGCCCCCGGCCTCCTTCGTGCCCTCCAGGCCCCAGGTTTTGACCTCCAAAGACAAAGACACAAAGCGCATGGTGGTGGTGCTTTCACAGGCGTGTTTGGAAACACACAAAATCAGCACGGGCGCGGCGGGCGGCGACAAGTATGCGTTGTTGAACTGCGACGACCACCAGGGCTTGTTGCGCAAGATGGGCCGCGACATTGCCGAGGCTCGCCCGGACATCACCCACCAGTGTCTTTTGACGCTCTTGGACTCGCCCATCAACAAGGCCGGCAAGTTGCAGGTGTTCATCCACACGGCACGCGGCGTGTTGATCGAGGTGAACCCGAGCGTGAGAATCCCCCGCACGTTCAAGCGGTTTTCCGGGTTGATGGTGCAGCTATTGCACAAGCTCTCGATCCGCTCGGTGGACTCCGAGGAGAAGTTGTTGAAGGTGGTCAAGAACCCCATCACGGACCACCTCCCCACAAAGTGCCGCAAGGTCACCTTGTCGTTCGACGCCAAGATCCGCCGGGTGCAGGACTACGTGCAGACCTTGGCCGACGACGAGAGCATATGCGTGTTTGTGGGCGCCATGGCCCGGGGCCAGGACACCTTTGCGGACGAGTACGTGGACGAGAAAATCGGCCTTTCCGACTACCCCTTGTCTGCGTCCGTGGCGTGTTCGAAGTTCTGCCACGGGTGCGAGGATGTCTGGGGGATCATGTAGGGGGCGTTCCCCAAGGACGACTTTTGGACGGAGAGAACCGAGCGTTTTCTCGTGCAACCTGAAACTGTCGGCCTGTCTGGTCCATACAGGCGACACTAGATACTACCGAATATAGGGAAGACGTGAAACATTAATTTTTTTGTATCTTGCAAACGAACGTAGTCTGTGCTGTGTGGGTGTGGAGTCCATGGCTTCGCGTGCTGCTTGCCTCTGCTGGAGCCCTTTTACAGGGCGTCTTTTGTATGGTAGACTGGGGGTGCATGTTCTGGCTATTCGAGCCTGTGCGGGGCTATTCCCCATGCCCCAGATGGCACATGACTCTCTTCTCCTCAGATTGGGGGTCTATTCAGATTTGGGTCTACTCGGATTTGAATCTACTCAGATTTGGATCTATTCAGATTTGGGTCTACTCAGATTTGGGTCTACTCAGATTTGGATCTACTAAGATTTGGATCTACCTGCACTTGCCTTTTCTCAGACATGCATGCTCATGCCTTTCATGAAATATACATCTCATTCGTTCGACCCATACCTGTAAGCATTCTCCATTAAGGCCCAACTCAACGATCCTTTTCTTCCTAGTGCTAATCACATACATGTCGGGCACCAAGCTGTAAAGTGTTTGGCGCCGATTTATTTTAGTCTTTTTCATCTCACCTCTTTTCGCTTTCTCACTCATTCGACAGAATAATTAAAAATCTCTCCTTTGCTGCAGGCAGTCCCTCTTTATATAGATTAGTATTTTTTTGCAATCACTCCATTTTTCACAGTCACATCATCTCAGGCTCTGAGATGTTTTCCACCGCCAAGACCGGTTTTGGCCTTTCACTGAAGTATTCCCTCCCATCGCTTCCATACTGCTCGTCCAGGCATGCGCAACCTGTGTCGCAGATTGCGGCCCTGGTCCTCTGCAGATCCACCATCGGCAATTCTTCAGCAATAATAACAGCACTCTCGTTCCCTGCAAAATAGCAATGCAAGCGCCAGAAACGCTGCTATCATCAGGCGGCAGCATGAGCAAAAACAATCCCGAACAAATCAATTCTGCAGCTGCACATGAGCCCATAAACGGTGCCACCAGCTCACCAGGGCCGCAGCCAGTAGCACCCACTATAGATTGTGCCGATGCTGGAAGCACACAAAACACCGTGTCTCCAGATTTTCCTGTCCAGTCTGGCAACATAATCGAGAAGCTGAGCTCGGGATCTATCTCCCCGGCCGAAACGGGTCCAAAGCCCGAGAAAAAATCCGTCTCGGGCGACGATCTCTATCGCCGATCGTCTCAGTACCAGACCTGGTCCTTCACCAGCGAGGAGTTGTACCTGATCAAAAAACAGACCAACGAAAAAGGACGAGCCACTGCTCTTCAACTGTTCGAAAGCTCGCGATCATCGTTGGAGGCGGAGAAACCCGAGGTGTTCGCCGCACACGGTGACAAGTTGACATCCGAGATTCTCGAGCTCATTTCGTTTGACGAAGAGCAGAAGTACTTGCACTACTTCGGCCAGCAGATCGTTCAGATCTGTGCGCACTTCAAAATGCCCACTCAGGTGAAAGCCACCGCCATTTCATTTTTCAGGCGATTCTACTTGGTGAATTCTGTCATGGAATATAGGCCCCGCAACGTCTTGTACACCGCTGTGTTCTTAGCAGCGAAGCTGGAAAACTACTTCATTTCCATCGAGACTTTCTGTTCGAGAATACCGAAAACCAAGCCGGAAGATATCTTGGGGCTAGAGTTCATCATATTGCAGGCGCTCAAATTCACGCTCTTGGTGCACCACGCATTTCGACCCGTGTACGGCTTCTTCCTAGATTTCCAGCTGTTGCTCTTACATCCGGCGCCTGTGATGTACGACGTAAATGTGGACACCATAGGCCAGCTTTACGATAAGGCAAAGAAGTGGCTAAACGACCATGCGTTGTTAAGCGACGTTTCCTTCCTCTTCACTCCTCCGCAGATTGCATTGGCTGCCCTATACGACTCAGATAAGCGGATAACTGACCGCTACTTAAGACTCAAATTTCTTCACGAGCCACCTGAAGGCAAGGAGGTTGGTCAGTCCTCCGTTCCCCCGCATGTGAAAGAACATTTTGACCTCATATTGAAGACCATCAAAAGATGCATTAAGATTGCGAAGGAGGAGACAACGACGTCCAAAGAAGAGAGTACTAAAATCGATGAAAAGTGCTTCTTTGCTCTTAATCCTCTGAAACTATTGAAAAGACGCATCAAGGCCCTTCCGGAGCAGCCCTAAATATACGTTGTACGTAGGTTTTTGCCTGTGATGAGTCTGATTTTTGTCTCATTTGTATGTAGTTCTATGATCTGATCGTTCTGTCCAACAGTATGTCGTAAAAGTCTACTCGTCCATGACTCCCTCTTTCTCCAAGACCCGTTTTATTTCTTGGAACAAGAGCTTGGATGTAGCCGCGGCCCCCTTTGTGTGAACACAAATAACCTCTGATTTCTGGTTCATCTCTCTCTGTGCAATCTGGATTCTGAACTTGCAGCTCTTGAAATTAAAAGAGTTTCTTTTTGAAACAGACCCAAGGATATTGTTCCCGTGGTTGTCCCTTCTCAAGTCTTTTAGTCCGAAATTGGTCCACGAGTTTAGAAGTGAGAACAAAGCCGACATCATCTCTTGTTTGGGTAAAATCGTCTTGTATGTATGGACCTCAAGCTGGCTGTGATCCGAGGAACTAAACAACCGCAGGAAAAGGCCTCCTTTCGGTTCGTTAACTGTGCTACCGCTCGAGTTCGCTGGCGATGGTAGTTGTTTGGGTTCTTCATCCAACAGTTTCTTTGTGCCCCAAGATAACTTTCTGAAAATCGAGCGGTTTCTCTTTTGCGGCACATCCTCGGTTTTTGGCTTTAAGTTCGTGGAGTCCATGAGCGGAACACTACCATGCGCGGGAACGCTTGGTTTGGTTTCTCGTTTTTCTGCAAGCTCGCCATACTTCTTTCCCTTTGATACAGCTGTGGGCTTCTCAGGAGCCTTCAAGTCAGGAAGAAGCATAGTCGATGGGCTTGGCTGAGCAGCTCTCACCGGCTTGTTGGTTCTGGCACCCTGGGAAAGTGGTTTCTTGCTCTCCGGCAACTTGATACTTTCGAAAACCTCGTCAGCATTGGATTTAGGTCTCGTGTCATCCTCTGCAAAAGTGTAGTCAGCTTCCTTCTCCTTCTGGCTGACACCACTCCTTCGCCTCTGAGAATCCTTCGCACTTTTGGCACTGGCCACAGATTTCCTATGACCCATATTGTTGCCGGGACCAGCATAGTAAGATGTTCTCTTGTTAGCCAAATGCTCGTCAAGATCAATGACGGAATTAGAGTCCAAAGGCTCGTCGTCGTCTCCTAAATCGTTCATGGTTGAGCCTGCGTGATCCAAACGGTCGGCAAAGCTGGTTCTCAAGCCAGGCATGGCCTTGGAAAGTTGTTCCTCTTCATTAAGCTCGTCGTCCTCCAAGTCTTCATTGTGCGTATCCAAAAAGCTGTTTAAGTCCTGGTAAGACTCTTTGGTCGACTTGAGACTGAGCAAAGACAACCTCTTATTTGAGTTTGTGAAATTGCTTGATTTTCTCGTGACCTTGGGGATGTTGACAGATCCAATCAACGTCTTTCTTTCCTCTTCCTTATGCCTGCCGATCTTCGAGGTGCGCTTCACGCTTGAATCATTCAAGTTGCCCTCCAAAGCAGCGTTTAAGTTGAGCTGCGAGTTCAAAAGCCGGGATTTTCTGATTTCGGATAAGTACTCCTCACTCAAGTCTGCGTCTTCATTCTTGTGTTCTGGAAGCTCGAAGGCATTGTCGTAATCAGAGTCCTTGGGATATTGGTGCTTGTCGTCTTTGTAGCCAAAAGACACCATCGACTCCCGGTTCCTGTTCTTTCTCTTATTTTCCATGTCCTGAAACTCTGCTTTCAAGGCATCCTGTGCCCGGGTGAGCTTCTCGTTCTCATGCGCAAGCCATAGCGGATCCAACCGAGAAACTGGTCTCCTGCTTAAAACTGGTGTTTGTCTTCTTCTGGGAATCGGTTGCGTGACAGAACGCTTTTTGATTGCGTCAAGGTCAGATTTCTTGAGTTCATCGTCATTCCCACCAACTCCCTCCGAAAGGGCTCTCAAGGCTTGATTGTACTTGGCCTGTTTTTGTTGCTGCGAATTTCTCTTTCCAGGAAGCACGTCTGACGCACCAGCAGGAGCCTCTTCTTGGCCCAGGCCATCTTCAGTTACAGTGATGTGTAGCTTTTTAGAGGAAGAGAACAAAGACCGCCTCTTCTGTCTTTTTTGTTGTTTGGCCAACTCTTTGCGCGCCTTGAGTTCTGCTTCGTGCTTCTTCCGTTCGAGCTCCATCAATTTCTCGTACTCCTTGGCTTTCTTTTCCTCCTCGTCAATCAACTTCTCGTCCTCCTCGTCATACGCCTCGTGATTGAAGATCTTGTCACAAAGCATACCGAAGGTAGCAGATGTCCGCTTGGTTTGCTTGTCCATATACTCCCAGTCGGTCTCGTTCGAGAGCTTTGCATACGTAGAAAGAAGCTTGATGGTGATGGAGTTCCGCTTCATGCCAGTGTTTAAAGATTGGCGGATGGATTTGCGTCTGCTCATTCTAGAGTTAGACTGCTTCAAGATCGAATTTCTCTTGTTGCCTGCACCGGTCATAGTGGTGGACGATTGGTTCGGTATCAAGAAGGGAGCAGCGCTGAGAGCTTCTAGCGTACCTTTGTTCTCCTCTCTGATGCCAATGTCAGCAGCTGTGGCTGGTGTCTCTGCATCCGCGTGAATGGTGTCTTTCGAGGGCAAGGTGGGCGGCATCGACGTGTACGATTCGTTTGGCCCGGAAACGGCCATGATTTCATTGTAGATGTCTCTGGGAGGAGGCCCGCCTTGGGGCTGGAAGCTCATGCGTTTCCGCGGTGACCTGGCGGGCGAAGGCTGGTTCCACCGGGTGTCTCTTGAAGGGGACTTGTAGGGCGAGTTGTTGACACTTGAAACTGCCGAGTTCCTCGCGGGCACGGAGTTGCGAGCGCCATACCGACGCTGGAAGGAGACAGGCCTGTTTCTCGAGGATGACGCGCTCACTTGGCCCATCTTGCCGCGTCTTGGGGTGTTGGGGGCTCTGTTGGAGAGCGCCGAGGTGGAGCGAGGGAGATTCTTGGTGGGGGACGCAGACGTGGTGGGGTTGAGCGTGGCGTCGTCCTGCGTGTGTCTGTACCTGAGGAGCAACGCGTAAAAGGTCTTCTCGGGGGTCGGGCCCTCTTTCAAAAGGGCCAGGATGATCTCTTGCTCGGGCCGCAGGTTCCACAAAATGGACAAGTTCTCCAAGATCTGCCGGTCGATGTTCTTGACGGAGCCCAAGGATTTGTACGCGGTCTTCGGGTGCGGCAAGGACTTGACGCTGATGAGGTCTTCGTTAGGGCACGGGTACTTAGCAAGGAGGCGGTGGCTCAAGACGTCCGAGGTGGTGAGTCTCTCCATAGGGTCCACGGTGAGCATTTTCCAAATTAGGTCCTGGGCCTCGGGGCTGATTTCCAGCGGCATCTCGAAGTTGCCGGCCTGCACCTTCAACAACAAGTTGCGGATGTTCTCGTCGTCAAAGGGCAAGCGGCCGGTCAACAAGGCAAAGAGAATGACGCCGCACGACCACACGTCGGACGCGGCGCCGTGGTACTTGAGTCCAGACACGATTTCGGGCGCTGCGTAGTGCGGCGAGCCGCACGACGTCTCAAGCAACTTGCCGTTGCTCTCCAATGCCGCCATGCCAAAGTCCGCAAGCTTCACATTGAGAGAGCTGTCGAGAAGCAAGTTCTCGGGCTTCAAGTCGCGGTGGCAGATGCCCAACGCGTGGCAGTAGGCGGTGCCGAGGATGATCTGGCGGAAGTACTTGACGGCCTCCTGCTCCTCCAACGGGCCCCTTTCCACCAACAAGTCGAAGAGCTCGCCGCCTTCGACGTATTCCAAGACCAAGTACAATGCCTTGGACGTCTCCCACACATCGTACAAACGCAACACGTTCGGGTGGGTCAAGAGCTTCATGATAATGATCTCCCGCTCGATGCCGTAGGGAAGCCCGCCCTTGCGGTCCTGGGGCTGCTCGTAGTCTTCGTTCAAGTCCAGTTTCGACACCACTTTCACGGCCGCCTTCTGGCCCGTGGTCTGGTGCACGCCAAGCAAAACCCGCCCTGTGGCGCCGCGGCCTAGCGTTTTCCCTAGCCGCCAGGGCCCGATTTGTTGCGGGTGTATTTGTGCATTGAAAACCGAGGAGGTCACCGAGCCTTGTCTGGATAGCATAGTAGGAGACTGTGGAGATGGGCAGTCAGCAAATGGCTGGGATTGTTCTGATGAGGGCAGTCAGAGATGCTGCTTTAAAAGAGTGTTTGGGGTAGCGGGTGGTTCCAGGCAAAAACGGCGTGAGTGTGGAACAGCGGTTGTTTGAAGAGAAAATCCCAGGGTAGGAAAAAAGGTGAAAACCTCACAGACGTGTTGACGTTGCCGGTGTATAAGAGGCTATCGAGGGTCTGTCCTGCACGCGCACAAGATTGTTTGGGAAATTACCACTCACTTGGGAATGCGCGACGCGTGTGTGGCAGGCACGCGGCACCCGATTAATACGCTTTCGGCGACAGCGGGCCCGGCTGGCCCACGAGATGGCTCGAAAAGTATAGCGCTGTTTTAGGGAATTTGGGTTCTTGGCCGGGGGCCACACGGCGCCGGTGGAAACTAACAACTGCCCCAAAATGAAAACAGAATGAACATGAAATAAAACAAATACTGAATTAAAATGAATGAAACAAAATGGGGGAACAAAGCCCTGTGCTTCGCCGAGCGCTGTGCCAATAATACTAGATTTGTCATGCGAATGGCGAGAGTGTCGCTACCATCCGTTGATCCATGCACCCGCACATCTAGTTTTGGCCCGTGAGTCCATCTAAAGGCAGTAGCGATCGAGGCGCAGACGCGAGAAACGAGTGTATCTAGAGATGGTCTTGCGCAGCCGATTTCTCGCATTTCGTATGAAAGGTCTTGCGAAAGGAGGGGGGCTCCGTTTGATATTTCAACAGTGCTTCAGTTCTAGCCAAGGCGATGAAAAACAAAAAAAAAAGAAAAGGCTGACGCTAGGAACGGGAAGGAAAACTGTTCTCATGAAGCAACTGTCGTCGCTAACAGATTGAAGCTCCGTGGGGTTACGAGTCCCAACAAAAGTATGCATCAGGGTCGAATATCGAGGTGCTTAGCCACGCTTTTCCGCGCCAATCAGCTGTGCAAGTATGGCAAATGCATTGTGAACAACTTACCGACATTTCGCGACTAACCAAAAAGAAGTGAATTGAGCAAGAACGGTAATTCGGGGCTTACCTTGCTTTTTGGGAAAGCCCGTGCAAAGTACATACACGCTCTCCTATTGCAAAACACCTTGATTTCGCTCCATTGTAGGCTTGCTGAAATTTCACTGAATAGGCGGATGATCAGATATATCTGCAGTCGGGTTACGACTCCCCAGACCCGCTCGATGGAGCATCGTATTCTCAACTTCCGCCTCCATCAACGCAGCATGGTGAGTCCTTAAGAAAAATGGAGCTGAAAATCTGCAATTCTCTGAGCCGCCCGTTTAATTGAGCAATATCTATAAGTAGCTTTTATGGGCCTGGTTTCATCTCTGTCCACTACACATCAGCCAGAGATATTGGTAGATTCTTAAAAGAAAACGTGAGGTCTTGGTCCTGTCATTGTCCTGTCTTGGACGAAGACCATGGGAAATTCAATTATTGAAATTTCCTCTCGCTCCTCTTTAAAAGTACATACATTTCCCGCCTAGGGCTGAAGCCCATAGTGTCTTGATGGAATATCAGGAACTATGTGTGGCATCTACACTCCATATTGAGCGCAACATTTTAATCTGAGAGGCAAGTATCGACTGCTCTCTTCCATAATATCACCCCCAATTAAACCAATAGAGGACCTTTTGAAGAGTTCTTGGCAGCACAGATCATTCACTAGGATTTCTCCCACTGAGGCTTGGGGGGAATTTCTCTTCTCCAAATCCAAACTGCAAGTTGGTCAAACCCATCAAAATTAGCTTGGAGTGTAGCTTAAGTTCTTCTTGTACATCTCTCACAACCTTTGTGCCTTCCTGTAGGAGTTTCAAAATATAGTGATACCGAGAAATGCCACACAACTCCTCGTTCCAGACAAAGGACCTCATTGCATGGAAGTACTCTAAATATCCCGAAATAGTCTGTTCATCTTCTTGCAGCTTAACCTTTGCTGAAAGAAAACCATCGAAAGCGCTCGTGATGGCTTATCGGCTTGTGACCCCGGTGTTGGCGATGTCGACCATTGTTTCCACGTAACCATAGTCGGCACTTGTCAATACTTTTAGCGCCTTCTCAATGTATTGAATCGAGTCACCAGATTTGGGTACCGACTGAACTAAATTCTTGGATCTATTTGCAGCATCTAACAATGAATCTCCATCTTTGTCGGCATCTTTGATAGTATCGACATGTAAAGTGAACAGGTCTCCAATTCCAGCCAATAAATCTAAAGTTGAATTTACAGCGTTGCTGATTTGAGCCAAATAGTGATTGTAATTTAAGCTTTGCTCCTCAGCAACTTCGATGTAACTGAGGAAAGAGTATTCGCAAGCGTCTTTGAAAAAGCTTGCTACAGAATTGAAATCATCCAGTCCACATGTTTTTCTTGATCCGTGAATCTGATTTTCGCATAATTCAACCCATCTCCACATATTTCTGTCCATGGATTGCCTTTGCCTAGTATCATTCTGATGGCCGAATTTCTGGATCACAAAACTGTTTTCAAAATTCCTTTAGGGGCAACACCAGCAGCAATCAAAACATGATCTTTTTCGAAAATTTCTTTGGGAAAAATGACTTCCACATCTTCAGAAAATAAAACCCTTCTATTCGTGCGGACTTTGTCATTACAGTTTTGCCTGAGATTTTCCTTCTTTAGAATGTATTCTTTCAATTCGGGCACAAACATTAATTTTCCCCTGGCTTCACTGATAAGGTGGAGCTCTTCGCCACTCACAAAATCTTTTCTTATCCTGTCCCAAAAGGCGTCTTCGTTCAAACAAAGCGCTTTCCACAACGTCTTTTCTACTTTTATGGTCTTATCTCTGGTCCGGAGCGAAAGTTTCCACCATGGCTTTATCTTGTGTGGCATTTTATTTTTCTCTTGATCATTCAAATTTCCCAAACTCATCTTGGGGGAAGAACTAGTAGTGTTCGTTTGTGTCTGACATTCAGCCATAATTATTTTCTTCTTTCCCAAGTGTGTACTGGCTTTATTTGTTTCAATATCGATACTTCTTTGGGCAGAATAATCCCAAACATTGGAACTTTTAGTTATCAATTCAAATCCAGGCTCGTTTAGTTGCCAGCGTTGCCCAGACAGTCTACCCTCGGAAAGTAGGGCGATCTGAGAAAATCCAGGTTCTGTTTTCTGATCCTGGTCATTTCGATTATTAGGGCTAATGTTTTTCGGTCCAAAGCAATTCTTCAAATTTTTGAATTCTTTTGTTAATTCTCGTGAGCACTTGAAAGACATCTCGCAGAAGTACGGATTTATAATTTCTTCCTCGCAGTTTTCGAAGAGCATGTGTATCTGGCCATTTGGCTTGTAGGACTTTGGGTAATTCTCCCCCTGATTGTCTTTATTTTGAGTCTTTGCAAGTGTTTCAGTTTTTTGAGCTTCTTCAAAAATATAAAACGGCCTGAAAAAGAGTTTTTGTACCTCGACATTCAAAGGAGGCTCAGAAGCTTTCCAGTCGGCGGAACTAACTTCGCTCGCAGAGTTATATACGGGCCCAACACCAGTGTCACAAGAAACCATCAAATTTCCCTTGAATCCTCTGAAATAATTTTCTGAGAGATCCTGGTCCTCTCTGCCGGTTTTGCATCCCTCGAATGTCTCCGCAAGCTGTCTGTCTGCGAATCTAGAGTTCGAGGATGAAAACGTAGCAAGCCTGTTGATAAACACGTTTTCCATTTGGCTATCATCGTTCATCATTATTTCTTAGATTTTCAAAACCCAAATTTGAGCTAGATAAACTTTGACTCTCAGACGAAGACCATAGTACTGATGAATCATGCAAAGATGCCTTATTCTCCAATGACCTTGCCGCTATAAGCCTAGGGGGGTTCATAGTCCCCATTCCCCCGACAGTTAAAGTCTCCGATGACTTCAAAAATGTCAGCGTTTCTTGGAGACACCAAGATTTTGATGCTCGACTCATCACAGCACGTGTTGATAGACATTTTATTATCGTTCGTTATGGCGTCAGACCCGCACATACCAAAGAAACCCTCGAGAGAACAAGCAAAAATGGAAAAGCGAGATAACCAACCCAAATGTACTTGGGTTTTGGATTTTGTATTTTGTTTGCGATTGGCAGGTAAACAAGATACAATGTAAAAATGATCAGAATACTCAGTAACTTTATAATTAGCGAAATCTTTTCTTTCAGGATCTTGCGTTTTGCACCCACGCATACTTTTCGTACCTGTTAACAAAATCTACTAAAGAGATCATCTATTACCTACTAATCGAACTGCCTATGTTTTGAATATGTGTCCAATTGCGTCATGTTTTCAAAAGACTCTATTATTAATCAAGAAATACACATGTTTTGGTTGAACTCATTTTTTGACATTCGAGTCTAAATTTCGAATTTCCGATTCAATGCCCAAAATAAACCTGAAGCTTTTTAATCGATTTTTGGTCACGTCATACTCATAACTCTTACTTAAATGTATTTACAGTCATCTGCCTACAGATACTATGAATATGAACTTATCCAAGTATATAAGGTTGGACCATGCAATTTCAAACAAGGGCTACCAAAAAGATATCTGATTATTGAGGTATTCAGTGAAGCTGAGGACTCAAAGGTCGAACCATACATGCATTCCAGGATCTGCAATACAGAGGAAGGAAATAAAGCTTTTCTCATCAATATTAGCATAAAAGCTCAGACCACCGCACTTGTATCTCTTAATTACACAACCAAGCTCGGTTCTGTGAATGTGGAGTTCTTCTATAACTATGTGTAGATAGGCTAGACTTATCTTAATATCGTCTTATCAAGCCCTCGTTATTTTTTGCTTTCTAATTTTCTTCTTTTTCTTCCTTTTTTCCCAAGTTCTTTTGTTTTTAATTTCTTCGTTCTGTTTCTATAACTATTTGCTGATTGCTTTTTTTTGCCCGTGACTTACTTTACAGACAGTTTTTATATCTATTTTGGCATACTGATATAATACAGGTGAATTCTTCTTTACATTGGCTTCAGATTACAAAGCATCGACAGATATTCGGTAATCATGCGTTTCATAAGTCATCCACTCATTTTCAGGCTAGCTATATCTCATGAAGACAAAAATCTTGATACCAAAGGCACTGGGTTTTGTCTTGAGGTGTCAATGTGAATTTATCTGGGTGGTAAGACGCAGGCAGTAGTGGCCGAAGTGAAACTAGAATTTATACCTTTCATGTTTGGCCAGATTACCGTCAATCTCAGCAGTCACATTACCATTGGATTCAGGGACCAAGAGGAAAGCTGTTATCACAGAAGCCGTAGAGTAATAAGCATCATCATCTTCCATCTCTTGCTGCCTCTTTGCATTTAGAAATTCTTTTTGATAATCAACCCGAAAACACAGAAAAACGATTTGAGGCTGAATTTCAGACTGTTCCTTTAATAGGTAGCAAAGATTTCTTATCTGGGGGTGTCAATCAATTTTCAGATCATTTCTTTTTCTTTTCGGGTTCCTTGCGGGAGTCAGGGTTTCTGTCACTCATCTTCAGAATCGACATCCGCTTTTATAAAGGGCTCCAAAACATTATTTACTTCTCAGTCTTTTTGCTTTCCCCGACTTCGTGGATTAAATCTTCCTTGTGGCAGTTTTGCCACATAGATTTTAGAATTTTATTAGCATTGGAACGGTTTTCTAGAACTACAGCATGTCCATATCAGGATTTCAAGGCAAGCTAGGGGTTTGGAAGAAAAAAGAAGAAAGCAGTATCACTTCAGTGATTGTCGCCATATAAAGGAATAATTGTTGATATGTTCATATTTGTGACAACAAAAAAGGAGAAGCAAAGGCGGCACATGAGTAAATACGAATAGAGCTCTTTTTCAGCTGCAATAGAAGCGAAGGCTATCGTGGGATTAATGGCCCTGGAACCCGCTGTGTTAGAATTCTCCTTGGCTCTCTTCATTGATGATTTCTCAGTAGCGCTATTGAAATATTTTGCGAAAGAGATTACAGATAGATTTTTGTTTCCTTCAAATGCATCCAATAATTCTTCCTGGGACTGGCTTGATTCTGGTGTACTTGGCTCGTTGTGGATCTAGTTCATTGCTTTTTTTTAATAATGGTTGTTCTTGCTTTACTTTTTTACCTTTTTTCATATGAACAATAAAGAAATAAAACTGTAGAGTCCTGTATTTTACCTTGAGACAGCTCCAAATACATTTTTAGTTCCTGAGCTCAACATGTTTCATATAAGCTTGTCCATGCATGGACGGGATTCTTGACATGTATCTATTTACGCATCGAACATTTACCATGGTTTCTTTTTTTTTTTTGGTAGATTCATCTGATTAAAGGGGCAAAACTATGTAACGAATATATATAAAAAACCTTTAAACAGCTCCCAGCTACGTACCAAGTGTCTTGGCTCGGCCCGTCCCCTTCCGTTAGTCACGGCCTGCACAGTCCTCATGGCCCATATCTGTTTACGTATTGGATATTACGTCATCGACTACATAGGTTTCCTGTAGTAGTCGCTTCAACTCAGTGGGGAAGGAGGGTATGGAGTGATTGTAGGTTGCCAGGTCCTCTACCTTGAGTTTCTTTGAGATATCCCATATGGCAATTCTCGGTTCTCGTTCTTCCGGAACGTCGTGTTGGGGTTGTAGGCAATGGGGGAATTGTAGTCTGACATTTCCGGCGTTCGGTTTTGTTTACCGTTGCTACTTTGGCTTGGTTTGTATCATCCTTTGTTTTCGGGGGATCCTTTGATGATGGCGTGTGGTCGGGAATGTGAGTTCCCGAAACTGTAGTCAAGGAGCCTCCTAGGGAGGGCATGGATGATTGAGTAGAGGTTTGATTAAGGAGCCTTAATTAATTTATTTCCGGCTGAAACTATGTGCAAGACATTTTCAGAGTGTTAAATAAAAGATGATTCAATTCCTGAATTTGAGCGAAGGACAAAAACGAAATAATGTTACCTTTAAACTATATATATTATCTTTAAGATAAAATTTCGGTTGCGGCCATACCATGCAGAAAGCACTGTTTCCCGTCCGATCAACGTTAGTTAAACTGCATAGGGCCACACTGAGTAGTGTAGTGGGAGACCATATGCGAAATTGTGGTGCTGCAATCTTTTTTTTCGACTAAAGACTTACTGATTGTTGCATATGTGTGCCTAACTTTTTCTCATGTGGAAAGTATTCCTTTAGGACGTCGTATTTCGAATAACTACATGCCTGTAACACTCAAGAACATGTCTCCTCATACACCCCTGTGTCAGTGGTGCAACTGTCGGAAAGCGTGTGTGACAGAGTGAAGTAAAATAAGAGCCATTTAAAAAAACGTGGGTTGTTATTCGTATTGAAAAAGAAGTTTTTGCAGTCAATTAAAAATGGTTGGGAAGTTTGGCGCAAGTCATACAGTAGAAACGGACCTATCATATCAAGATTCCTCATGAACTAGCCTCCGATAATTCGGGTAGCACGCCGGGGATGACTTGATAATTCAAAGTCACCATATATGTGAGTCTCGTATTTATTCCAGTGTGAAAACCCTGTTTGACATACCGGAAAGTGCAGCCCTGCGAGTTAGATAGCGCAGAAAAACATAGAGCTTTGGTAGTACCTCTGTTTGAGAGGGCCGATACTTGTGGAAAAATATCAATCAAAAAATCTTTGCTGCTAACAACAAAGAAGGATTACAAAATCAGCGAATTATATGCGTTTCTATCAGTTATGATCAAGCTCTACCAGCTTCAATAAACCTGGTCGAATTTCTTGTGGTTACTCAACTTGAAGCAATACATCATTTGGTGCAGGCTCATGGCTCTATGATTTCATTGGCAGGAGTCAGTAAAACAATATGAAACTGTTGATGAGTAAGAAATAGGAGCTCGAGGATATCTGCTGTATCCAAGTGAGGGCGTAGTTTCCGCCATGCAAAGAATACTCATGACGCTGTTCTTGAATGAGCTTCCAACCACGGACTGTAAGTCCCGCGACAGTCTCCAAAAAAATACCCGTTTTTTTGGTGGAATACTCAGGCCACAGTAGTGCGTTTCGGTTGTTTTAGTTCATTTGCAATTCGCTGAGCTTTCGCACGCCGCACAGCTAAATTGATCAGGTCTATTCCTTAAGAATCTTTACGGCCTCACACTATAATACCCTCTACTCATCTCCTGTTAAAAAAAACATGTAGCCTCATAGTATTTGGGCTCAAATCAGAATTATTCTTTTGTGCGCTTTCGTGCCCGGCATCTCAAGACCGCTCAATTGACACGTTATCTCCACTGCCATGTGCACCAAAACTAGACTTCCGAGCATCTTTAATTTCAGCCCCAACTCCAATTTCTCAATTGGGCAGGCTTTTATCATTGAAATTCTCAGCTCTTTCCTTGTCCCCCCATCGGGGCCTTATCACTCAAAAGTCTTCTTGCCCCATCGGACAGTGTCCTCACCACGAAAACATGCAGGTTTGGTGCATGAGGCTGGTGCTCACGCCTCGCCTAACGAAACCTCAAACGGCACCCCATTTCTCCCCTCCGCAACTCGATTGCCCATATTTCACATGCCTGAGTGGATCTCGACGTTTCCAGGCTACAGCCAGCTCATGCGCAAAATCAAGTGCACCATAGGAGGCGTTTGCAAAACGGGCCCTGTACCGCGCCATGTGGGGGTCATTATGGATGGAAACCGCAGATACGCCAAAACCAACAAAATCGAAATGAAGGAAGGCCACAATCTCGGCTTTGACAGCATGGCGTCCATTTTGGAGCTCCTATACGAATCTGGTGTCGCATGTGCCACGGTGTATGCGTTTTCCATCGAAAACTTCAAACGTCTGCGGTACGAGGTCGAATGGCTCATGAACTTGGCCAAATCTAAGCTCTACCAGATGAGCCAGCACGGCGAGCTTTGTGACCAGTACGGCATTCGCATAAAGATCTTGGGAAACGTGTCCCTATTGCCGGCCGATGTGCAAAAAATTTTACAAGACACGCAAAAAATGACTGCTCATAACACCCGTGCAGTGTTGAACGTGTGTTTTCCGTACACCTCGCGGGACGAAATCGCCCATTCGATCCGCGGCGTGGTAAAGGCGTCAATGGAAGACCCGGAAATGATCATTGACGAGCACACGATGGAGAACTATTTATATACGGCAGACGCCCCACCATTGGATCTTCTCATACGAACTAGCGGAACAAGCAGGCTTTCCGATTTTCTCTTGTGGCAGAGTGTGCCGTCTACATGTGCCATTGTCTTCAGCGACCGGCTTTGGCCCGAGTTTCTGCCGTGGGATATGACTAAAATCCTTCTCTCCTGGAGCTTCAACATGTACTGGTATGGCCACGGCAACGGCCAGACAATGTCCAAAATTGTGCTACACTCCTCCGCCCTGCCGTCATTGAAAAACCATGACGCATCTCTCTTTGCAGACTCGGACGTCTCCACTGCTTACGAACGGTATACTACAGAATCGCCTGTTGACGCCACGGAGAGACTAAGTCTGGCCACTGGGAGGGATTGAAAATCACACGGAATAATAGACATACAGGAACCGCAGTTGTCCGATGGCAAATCGAGAGTCGAAAAGACGTGAGCGAATCGTAGCAACCCCTTCCCATTTAGGCATTCCGGCGATCAGAGATTTTTGCATCCATTTTCTTCTTGGTCAGCATGGTCACCTTTCGAGGCTAATCCGCATATTGACTCAGTATTGAAACAATCATGAAATATGCTACAACTACATACTCTGTTTTCCATTCCATCACTGTTCTAGAGGCTCTTCTAAGGCATGGTGAAGTGCGCTCGATTGAAAGGCTCTTAGATTTATCGGTATCGCGGTACCTGCATGAGCGTTAAAACTTTGAGTCATTGAGGTGAGATTTTCAAAAACCCAATCCACGTTAGTTACCAGCCACCGTTTTCGTTAACATGGATTTAGTCAACCACCTCCCAGACCGCCTATTGTTTGCAGTTCCCAAGAGTATGTGACTAAGAATGCAAGAAAGTTAGCTGGTGCGGGCGTCTTTGGCCCCGTGTCGATACTTGTATCAATATACTAACATTTGTCAGAGGGACGTTTATATGAGAAGTGCTGCAACTTGCTTGCTGGTGCAGACATCCAGTTCAGAAGATCCAACAGACTCGATATTGCTCTTTCGACAAACTTGCCTGTGGCTTTGATTTTCTTGCCAGCGGCAGATATTCCAACCTTTGTTGGAGAGGGAAAATGCGACTTGGGAATCACTGGCTTGGACCAAGTGAGAGAAGCCGATATGTTTGAATCTGTGTCCGACTTGTTGGACTTGGAGTTCGGAAAATGTAAATTGCAAGTCCAGGTCCCAGCCGACGGTGACATCGAAAAGCCTGAGCAATTGGTCGGCAAGAAAATCGTCTCATCCTTCACTAGATTGTCCGAGAGCTTTTTCAAGGACTTAGAGGTCGAAGCTGGCGTTCCAGTAGGAAGCACCAAAATAAAATACGTTGGCGGTTCTGTGGAAGCCTCGTGTGCTCTTGGTGTCGGTGATGCCATTGTTGATTTGGTCGAGTCTGGTGAGACAATGAAAGCGGCGGGGTTAAAGGCCATTTCCACCGTCTTGGACACTTCTGCTCACCTCATTTCCTCTAAAACACCAAGATTTCCTCAGTTGGTGGACACCATCCACCAAAGATTCGAGGGTATCATGGCTGCACAGAGGTTTGTCTTGTGTAACTACAACGCTCCAAGATCTATTGTCCCAGAGGTGTTGAAGATCACCCCTGGAAGAAGATCAGCTACGATTTCAGCGTTGGAGAAACAGCCTAATGATCCCGAAGAATGGGTGGCTGTTTCTTCGATGGTCGAAAAGAAGAGAATTGGAAACGTTATGGACAATTTGAAGAAGGCGGGAGCCTCGGACATTTTGGTGTTTGACATCAGCAACTGTAGAGTATAGAGTCTACAGGCAGTGAAAACACTTCGAGTCACCGGTTTTTTTACCGTCAAAGGGCCATTCAATTATTAAAGTTGTGTTAAGTCTTCGGGAAGTATGAGTGTAATAGATAATAGTGACGTGAGTACGGGGCGAGATTCTCTTGATACGTATTAGGATTGCTTTCTTGTAGTTAGACCAGTCTTGCAGCCCAGAAAAGGAACAGGCTGTAACTGAAGAAGCATGACATGAAACAGTCCTAGCCATCAAGCACATCAACGCTATGCTCATGTTTCCTTGCAGCATATGTCGCACTGAAGACGCTTCGTAGTCCGAAGGCAATAGAAGCCTATCAATTTGCATTCTGGCACACAAGTTATATCTGACGGGTGGTCTTCTTAGTGGCTGAGAGTCTACTGTCTAATTGAATGCTGAACTGGCCTACAGCACTATAAGGTGCTCTGATTCTGCTTTTCATCTGAAGCTTGGGTCTATAGCTTCTGAGGTTGTAAGGTTGTGCGACACATTTGCACTGAGGTGATATCCTACCAAACAAATATACCACACAATTTTCGGAGTAAATCAGCACATTCATACTTTTAAGAGCAAATCATCTTAATCGCACAGATACCCTTTTTTTGTTATACTTCTACCACTCTGTAAGAGTTTTCGGGCAAGCTTACAGGCGTTTCATGTGGACCTCCGTACACCCGCACGGAGTCGCTGGAACCAACACTGATGTCGCCACACTACGTAACTTCCAGCTTGTTCCGTAAACATGTCGAGAGAAGACCCCTTAAAAGCAGAGAAGGATTTCTCCGCTACATTGGATGAGCAGATCCCACACATCGAAAAAATTCCCGATTACAAAAATGCCATCGACAGATACTTGGTGTTGGAAAAGCAAATTAGACAGTCCTCGGACTTGGCGCTGAGTAAACGAGTGCTTGCCAAAATTGTCGACACTCTTGTCGTAAACAACGACTGGAACTTTTTGAATGAGCTTATCACGGTTTTGTCTAAAAAGCATGGTCAATTGAAGACCTCCATACAGGTTATGATCCAGCACGTCATTGAAAACTTGGGCAAGTTGCACAATTCTGAAGAGAAGCAATTGCAGCAAAAAATATACATCATCGAAACCATTCGTACAATCACCGATAAGAAAATCTTCGTTGAGGTTGAGAGAGCGGAAGTCTCCCGCATCTTGTCTGAAATATATCTCACAGAGAAAAAGGACTTGGACACCGCCACCGAGATTTTGTGTGAGTTGCAAGTTGAAACGTACTCGTTGATGCCTTTCGAGACAAAAATTGATTACATCTTACAACAGATGCAGTTGACTTTGATCAAAAAGGATTACGCACAGGCCAAAATTCTCAGCAGAAAGATTCTCTTGAAAACGTTGAAAAATTTCGAGAGGGCTGATGAGCTCAAAGCCACATACCTTAGGTACTTGTTGCAAATCAACAAGTTTGAAAATGACTACATCACTATTGTGAAAAACAGTTTGCTCTTGGTCGAAATTCCTGAGGTGAAAGATTGCGAAGGTTATAAAGATTTGTTGACCTCAATTGTCTACTACATCATTTTGTCTCCCTTCGACAACTACCAATCCGATTTGATTCATAACATTAAGAGGAACGTGTTGATTACGAAAAATGTTGACCCCAAAATCCTCCATTTACTCGATATCTTCACGAATAGCGAACTCATTCAATGGGAGAAAATTGAAATGGAATACCGTCACGATTTTTTTACCAAGTCTGATGTGCTTGCAAATAACGAAAAGAACAACAAAAGTTTGCAAAATCGTATCATAGAGCACAATTTGCGTGTCATCAACAAATTCTATCTGTTCATACAATTGAAGAGATTGGCGTTTTTGTTGAATGTGAGTGAGAGAGATGCAGAGACTTATGTCAGTGAGATGGTCAATAAAGGAATGATTTCCGCCAAAATCAACAGACCAAATGGGGTGATCAAGTTTGATAAGTTGGAACACGGTACCGCTGCGGGGGCTTCTCAAATAACAAGCAACAGTGAAAACATTAATGATTTGTTGAACAGCTGGATTCACGATGTTGACAGCTTATTGGAAGAAGTTGACAGCATCGGTCATCTCATCAACAAAGAAGAGATGATGCACGGCATCAAACAAAAGGCGTGATTTTAGAAGTTGTCGCACTCTATACTTTAAACGGAATGTAATTAACAAACCTTCAGTTGTAGCTGGACAATTTGAACCCCCCTGTCAAGGATTAGGCTTGTTAGCACCTCAAAAAACCCTCGCACGAGTATAGTTGGCACGATAATGATATACACAACAAGATTTCAGATTCGAATACCCATCGAAACGTTATATGCAAAAGAAGAAAAAGAATTAAAACACCACAATTATGCATATGGTCTCCCACTATATCACTCAGTGTGGCCCTATGCAGCTGAACTGGCCAATAGTAATAACCGAAACTGCATGTTTCTAATTACAGCCCCAGTATTACCCCATGGCCGCAACCGAAAAGCTCATGTACTATCTGAACTGTGAGCATTGATGAATGTAACGGTTCAAATTTGAACTGAAAATATTGGTGGTGTAAAAGTTGTTTTTTTGAGCGGGCGCAAACAGGGAGATAAGGCTAAAACTATCTGAGCTGAAGCGACTATTACAGGAGACTTATCATAGAAATCGATGACGTAATATCCAATACATAAACAGATATGGGCCATGAGGACCGCCAGGCCGTGACTAACGGAGGGGAACGGGCCGAGCTTCGACTCTTGGTACGTAGCTGGGAGCTGTTTAAAGGTTTTTTATATGTATTAATCAGATGAATCTAACAAAAAAAAATATGATGAGTTTGGAGAATTACGATTCAAATACAGGTTGTTATAGCGATCAGAAGTTAACCCACCTATACAATGAGTGTGAGATTGTGCACTTCTGGTCGCAAAGAATCGGCTATCAAGCTCCAATGCACTCAAGGGAGATGCTAGCTCATATATCTACTTTGGCAATCTCAGGAACCTTAATTGGTTTGTCAAAGTCGGTCCCAGGGATATTGCTTAGGGAACAGGAGGCAGTGACAAACGTACATCCTGCCGCCTTGTCAAATGAGCTATAGTTACTGGCAGTTAGAAAAACATATCATATGAGACGAAGACATTTAGTGAATTCTTTTCAAGTGGTTGACATTGGTTATGGGCAGAAGTCTTTTGAGGGGAGGTACTTCCTCTTCGGGGATTCCGTGAATTGGTGCTAATGTTGCAATGTATTCAATTTTCTTTATGGTTTTTCATTAGTAGTGCGGTTTTATATCACTTCGATGAGACCCTATGATGTGATATTTTCTTTAAAAAAACACCAACTCCTTAACAACGAAGACGTCATGTGAGCTTTCCTTAGCCATCTGTACAGTAACTAAGTAAATGTAAGTCAATTAATTAAGTGAAGAGCTAAACTAAGCCAAATCCGTGAGTACGCATATCTGAAAGCTGTTAGTCTTTTTGTTGTTTGTTGTTTGTTTTTTCGTACATTATTACATGGTTTTGATCATCTGATCAAATGCATCTGCCAAAAAGGTTCCCCATAAAATTTTGCCACGAGGCATATCGATTATCGATAAGTCATATGTTTTGACTGACTGATCGGTCTCGGGCGAATATTGGTGAGCTTTCAGGCGACGGCCTATAGTATTGATACTCCTTCAGAAATACAGCTATTGAGCTTTGAGTTAAGTTCGAGTTTGTATGTAACTTGAGAACTTATAGCTGCTGAATCGACGATGGTTTTTTTGAACTTTAAGATGAACTTAATGTTGGATTTTATTCGGCTGGTTTGAAATGGCTTAATTACAGGCAAACAAGTATGCTGGGTTATGGCCCAATACTTGTCTTTGAATTCCTGGTCTGCTTGATTAAAAGGTTTCGAAACTCATTTTGTATTTTTAGACTCTTAATATTGAGCTAATTCTCTAATTCAGCCTATTATTCATCTCGGAGATTAACTAAAATTAGCAGAATTCGCCCCACAATGAATCTATTTTGTGTACTATGATGCTCATTTTTAGCTGTTCAGTTGATTTAAACCATAATAGCGAAGAGATATGAAATCATCCCGCTCATCATGGAGACCGACAATAAGTTACCTGAGCTCTGTCTCAGAGAAGAAGCGGTGTTCGAACTCGAACTTCCTGTACTAGAACCCGATCTTGTAGAAGAAGACCCTGAGCTAGAACCCGATCTTGTAGAAGAAGACCCTGAGCTAGAACCTGAACTAGCAGAGTCGGAGTCATCTACGTCATTTCCTGCGGCAATGCAAGCCCATTGTGTATCAGCATCAAACCCGTTTCCCTCTGGCTCGACAACGCCATTGATGTATTTTAAGGCACCCTTTGGAGTGTCTGGGATCGTGTTGGATGCCTCCCAAACACTAGATCTTGAAGGGCAGTTGCTGTGGGGTAAGTCACTTTGGTAGCCGCCATCCCCGGATGGGTTAGGCACTGAAGCAAACTGCAGCTTCAAGTTATCAAAGTCATCCTTTGTCGTCACAGTCTTGTTATCTGAAGAAAGCTCAACTAGACCGTAGTCGTTGGCTTCCTGTGAATATTCATAAACAAGACCACCAGAGAAAACATGAGTCATATCAGTCGAGTAAATCGATTCTACCTCCGTGAATTTTCTTGGGGTGACTTTGTTGCAGCCGTATTCAGAAAAAAAAAGGGGGATGGAATGATTCAGGAATGTCTCCACTTTCTTGTCATAACCCGAGATCGTGAAGGATGAATCTCCGCACCAAGAGTAGTCATTGAACCCGTAAAAGTCTGCGCGAGCCATCTCGTCGTCTCCACAGTTGAAGTAATGTGCAGATTGTACTCTGTTTTCTTCGATATCAGCTGCTGAGTAACCAACTGGAACAGTACGCAAGCCCGTATTTCTTTGAAAGGTCTTGATGTCACGAATCACAGCCTTGACGTAGGCTGCGGCGGGCGTCGTGTCAAGATCGTTGATGACTTCGTTCGCAGCAAAGATTCCGATCAAGTTATCGTAAGCAGACATGATTCTCACTGTCGCGAGCACCTCATTCAAGTACATTGTATTGTAAGAACATTCAGCACCATCATCCCTGGCAATCAGGGCCAAGGGGATGTTGGTATCCAAAATCAATCCGATGCCGGCATCCAGAAGCAACTTCATTCCCTCGGAATGATCAGCTGTGTTGTCTATAGAATAGGCTCTGATCGTGTTGATTCCCAAGTCCTCAAAGTATGGAATATCACGTTTCAAATTGTCAACATTTGCGATCGGATCAATGAGCTTGGATGACCCTCCTGGCTGGTAATCAATGCCTCTAATGTAGAATCTTTCGGAAGTTCCATTTACGAAAAGAGCATTTCCTTCTGCAGCAATTGGCAGAAATGCCGCAAGACTAGGGGCCAACAAAAGGAGGAAGGCGGCAAGCAGGCTTAGCCTCGAAATTGCGTGTTTGTGTATAAGGCTTAACATGATCGAGCGAGATAGATAATAAAACCGCGTCAAGCGAGTAATAGAATGATAGGAATTTCGTCGGGAAGTGGTGAATTTTTTGGCTTGCAAAAGCGATAGGCGCAAATTTCAACGGGTTTTATAAGCAGAAAGTGAAATCGTGGCCGAGCACAAAGTTTTCTGGGCTTTCGAGGTACACGAAGTCACAAAGAAAAAATCGCGTCTATAAATAAACAACGCAAAACAAGCATTATGATGCGGTGTACTATAAAGGCGAGCGCGTTCCTTCTGCAAAATGAAAGGCCGTGTCCTGGCACACTATCGTCTGTTTCATGCCTGTGTTCCCATTGTATCTTAGCGATGGATTAGCCGCCAGCTTGCCGAAAAGGACGATTTTCAAAACATTCTGGGGCGGACATGCCTTGTCTGCACTCAGCAAGCTATCTCGGCTGTGTTGCCAAGCCTCCAAGAAAAAGCCGTGCATAGAATAATATTTCCAGGTTTTGTGAGCTGCGGCCGCACCCAGCTTGAGCCGCGCAAGTTGGGTCTTTTGAGCCCCTGAAATGCGCCCCTACTAGATATTGTATTCATCGATGCATGTAAAATAGCCAATTTGGGTGGCGTGCACAACTACTTGAATTATGAAAATTCCTGAATTATGAAAAATTCTTCATGTACGGTCTGTGTATTTTGTGTACCTGGATGTACATTCCCGGCGACATTATTCGGGCTAGACTCTTTCTAGGCAGGCATGGTGGTAGCCCCCACAGCACAGGGGTCGCAAAGTCTAAGCTTGGGCTTGGGTGCCGGTATATAGTCGCTCTTGTCGTCTTGAGTGTGAGGTGTAGGTGTACGGGCGAGGTCATGTGGGCTGTTTCATTGAGGGCTTGATACGAGGCACTACCAGCAGGTGAGCCTAGTATATTGCCGGTTACTGATTCAGGCTTTGAAATGCTTCGGCAAAAAGAAAAAAAGTGAGCGACTTCCTTTAATTTTTAAGTCCCCCGTTTACGAAAATTGCGTGCAAAAAAGGAGCAGCAAAGGTCCACGCTTTGGAGTGACAAGTTCTCAAACTGTCAAAAAGATCCCTCCAAAATAAGGACGTCAAAAATTGGAAATACAATTTACTTCATTTTCATGACTTTCAGGAGGAATAAAAACATTGAAGCTACATGGTACTTTATTTCATCTCCACAAAGTTTCATGTGGGGCGCCGATGCAGTGATATATATGATTCACTGCTATGATTTACCTCAGTAGCGCATCCGATCTGACGCGCCAAAAAAAGTGTCGCGTGACTCACTGGAGACGAGTTTTATTCAATTTTTTTATTTTTGTCGGTTATTTCTTTCGAATTGAGCTGGATGACCTCTGAGGTATCAGATCCGGGAGAGCTGTAGCAAACAGGGGCGTTCATATTGCCACGTCGTCTCCAGATTAGTGTTCCTGAGTGTTTCGCAGCTGGCTGAGGCACAGATGTTTTTCTGACCAGAACAGACAACAGTTCCGTGTATCCACGAGTTGTCTCACCTCCAAATATGGCTTCCCAGTTACATTTTTTGGACATCAAGGGAAAGCCCCTCCTCTCCCGAGACTATAAGGGAGATATCCCATCAAACACGATAGAAAACTTCCCTCTCATTCTCTTGGAATTGGAGAGCACGGACGACGATTCTCTTTACAAGCCGTACTACAATAAAAACGGAATCAACTATGTTTACATCAACCACAACAATTTGTATGTGTGTGCCTTAACTCGCAAGAATGAAAACATCATGACCATCGTCATCTTTTTGTCGCAAGTTATCGAGGTCCTCACGCTGTACTTCAAGAGCTTGGAAGAAGAGTCGATACGCGACAACTTTGTCATAACGTATGAGCTCTTGGACGAAATGATGGACTTCGGCGTCCCTCAAACGACGGACACAAAAATACTAAAAGAGTATATCACGCAAGATTACTACAAATTAATAAAAAATGCTCCTTCCAGGCTCATACAACCTCCAAATGCATTGACCAATGCCGTGAGTTGGAGGAAAGACGGCATAGTCTACAAGAAAAACGAGGCGTATTTGGACGTGGTCGAATCCATTAACATGCTCATCAATGCAAAGGGTCAAGTTCTCAACAGCGAAATATTGGGCGAGGTGAAGATGAAGTCGAAGTTGAGTGGCATGCCTGACCTCAGATTGGGCTTAAATGATAAGGGAATTTTTTCAACCAACTTGGACGATGACACGGCGTCGGAGTCTGCGCCTGGCTCTAAGAAGTTAGAGATGGAAGACATCAAATTCCACCAATGCGTACGGTTATCCAAGTTTGAAAACGAACGGATCATTACTTTCATCCCTCCTGATGGAGAATTCACTGTCATGTCCTACAGATTGCTGTCAGCACAATTTTTAATGAAGCCTCTCATATTGGTCAATTGCAAGACCGTTGTCCACAAACATTCGAGGATTGAAATCAACTGTTCTGTGAAAGCGCAGATCAAGAAAAAGTCTACAGCGAACAACGTGGAGGTCATCATTCCCCTTCCTGAAGATGCAGACACACCCAAGTTTGTTCCCGAGTACGGTACCATAAAGTGGATCCCTGAAAAATCTTGTTTGATTTGGAAGCTCAAGACCTTTCCCGGAGGCAAGCAGTTTCATATGAAGGCCGAGTTAGGGTTGCCGGCAGTTACTGACGAGGAGAATCTAGTTCCAAAGAAACCCATCAAAGTCAAATTTTCAATACCTTACTTCACCACTTCTGGGATCCAAGTGCGCTACTTGAGAATCAATGAGCCAAAGCTCCAGTACCAGTCATACCCCTGGGTTCGTTACATCACTCAGTCCGGCGAAGACTACACAGTGAGAACAAGATGATGTGGAGGTCGAAGGGAAACCACTACTCAATCTGTAGAAGGCTTTGAAAGCGTTAAGCACATAAATACACGACAACGCACTGCTCATCGCTCATTTTTCTTCTTTGAAACGACGTCAAAACCAGTAGACACTAGAGTTTTTCCGCAAGAACTTTATAAAGCAAGTCCAACACGAAGACTTTTTGACTTTTCGTCACCGAATGATCGTCCAGTAGCAGATTGAAGAACGGAACATCTAGATTCCTCAACAATCGCTCGCTTTCGAGACAATACTCGCTTTGTTTCTGCATCAAGTTGGTATAAAATCTCTGCAATTCTGCTTCTCTCTCTGCATTGAGCTTTGCATCAATAGCAGCGTTCATAGAGCCGATTTTCTTCAAACCACCTGCAAGCGGTTTTCTTACGCGGTATTTTTGAATGATTTTGTCTTGCTCTTCTGTGGCTGACACTTGGAATTGTCTATGTTTGCGGATCAAACTCTTGATTTGCTCACTCCTCGTGACATCTTTTAGTAGCCTCTTCCGAATGTAGTGCCCAGCCTCCGCCTCGTCTACTATAAGGCGTGGATTTTTCTCCTCACCTGAATCGTTGAGAAGCTCGTGTATTTTTCTGGTGTAATAATCTCTTTTCTTGATGAGCTCCATGAGGTGCTTGTCTTGCTTATTCTCCATGACGCCCTTGCTTATCAGATCCACATTCTTGCTTGAGAGCCGTTGAAACAGTTTACTTTTGGAAGTGAGCTGATAATTGGATATGACATGGTTTACAGCTGATCTCACCTGCTTTAATTGGTCGTCGGACATGGTATTTGAAGTTGCACGCGGTGTAAAAACCTGTAGGTATAGGGTGCGACTAGAAGAAAGACGAGCCTTGGTCACGACGTGAGTATTCAATCAATGGAACGCTAATTCTTCTTCTATATGCCAGCTTCCGACCTAAGAAAATCATATTTTTATCATTTGAAACTATTTTTGGAGGTCGTATCCGGGTAGCTAGTGGAACATTTTGCACAAATCACCCACCATTGCACCAAGCCTTACGTCATATTGGGACAATTTTCAATGTACAGTGGATATTCTATATCTTGGACAGGACCTTTTCTTGCAGTAGAATAAAGCGTGCTTCTCGTTCGCCACTTAAAAATGCCCCATGGGCGCATCCGTTTGAGCTCCCACCAATTGTTTCCGCCCCAGCAAATCGTACTCTCCTAGATACACCTCCGCCATGATACGACAGCCTTCATCTGCCAGCCGGGTATTAATCCGGCCCGCAGTATAAGACCCTTGAGTCCACGGGTCATTGTTCCAGTCTGACTTTAAAATTTCAAAAGGTTCTGAGATTGGTCCTGTGGCAATCTGCTTGACAACTGGCTCAAAAAGCTGCCATATTTGTTTTCCAGACCATCTTTCAACCTGCGTAGACACAGGTTCTTGGGTCAAAAATACCAATGATGGGACTTTGGCTATGGCAAAATAGTTGATGATCAAAGTTGGGTTCTGCCAAGGTCGAACAATGTCTAGTGAACTCATCTCAGACGCAAGAATGTAGAACCTGTGCACGTCTGTGGGCCAGAAGCATTTCTCGAACTCCAAAACAACTTTTCCCAATGATCCATAATGGCATTCGGGTAAAAAGTTCTGGAATCTTTGCGGTAACGATGGTGCCCAATTAAGGATATGCCTATCATTTTGATCAGTGATTCTGAGAACACTCAGCGGGGCAGTCACCACGACATAATCGGAAGTGTAGACCGACCCCTCACTCGTGGTCAAAGTGACATAATCATTGTTCTCATAGTTGATATGCGTTACCTGTGTATTCAATCTAATGTTTTGTTTTTGATATGCCTCAGGTAACTCAGCTAGTTCATTTCTGAATACAGTCTCGAACCCGTTCTTGTCATGTGCATTTCGACCAAGATGATCAGCACCCCACGAGAAGAAATGCTTTGCAGAAGCAACTTCCCACAGAATGCCATCCCACATTTCCAACCACATCCGCAATACTTGTTGAGAAACCTGAGCCTGGCAGGATATAAGCTCCCCTCCATGCTTGCTCATGTAGAGGGAACACAAATCCGAAAGTTTCAATGTCTGCCATAACTCTCTCATATTCCCAGGCAGGGACACTCCGGTAGTGTTCTGAGGCATATATATGTTTGCCATCATCATAGAAGTACTCCACATTTCCTAATTTCTTGGCTTTCTCGAGAAGCGGGTTCCGCAAGCTATCATGGAACCACAGCGCTCCTAAATCATAGCACACACCTGGCTTTAAAGTTGAATTATGGGATTTGAGTCTTCCGCCCAAGCGATCCTTAACCTCCAATATCAAAGTATTGCTCTGGCCCGCTTTGTAAAGATCACCCGCAGTTGATACCGGCCATGCCTCCCCCGATAATGATGACCGAGTAGTGCATTTCGAGAGAGACAAACGTGATTAGATGACCCAAGAGAAGCCGAGAAGATCAAGAATTTCAGCCAATTCTTTGACGTCCATCAGATCTTCTGAGCGCCACAGACCAGAGTATTGAATTGAATTAAGTGATGTTTGTCCTCTCTATGCGCGCACTATTGAATAGTCGTATGTTGAAATAACAATTCCTATTCGGGTAGGTGGATGCGCTATATTATTCCGCCCCAGGTAAGAATTTTTTGTCAGGTTGATGCTGATTGCCAATTCATAAAACAACTACCAGATTCAAAGGATCCGCGTGCACGTACGCCTTTGATGCATGGCCTGGTGATAGAGACGAGAAAGGAGAGAAGTCCGAATATATGCAAGTTAGATATGAATCATCGCAACCCTTCAATCGAGTGTATATGCGCCAAAATATAGCCTCTATGAGCTGGTCGAGGTAAAAGCAGACTCATTGTGAGAATAACGGATAGAAGGGACGGGCCACTGAATTTACCGATTCGCGCAGACTTGCAAACCCCGCGATAGAAACCTTAAAAGCAACACTTATACGATACATCGCCGTTTTGGAGACGTTTATGTTTCAGTGTTTCCATTAAGTTATTCATCATTAGACTGGGAGTTCACAAGGCAGGCTCATAGACGTCTCAGCCACATCTGCTTCCGCGAATTTCAAGAAGTTATGGTCCCTGTTCGCCTGAGGCAGGGCCTGATTCTTGCACTCCACACGGATTGTTCAGGGTGAGTCGTGGTGCCGTGATACTCCATTTGCTTGGTCTATTATGTTTATTTTCACGTTTCATTGTATAGTATTATGTACTCGTAGCTACAAGCACCCGTTCCTAGGTCTCCATGAGCCCCGCTCAGTCTTCCTCATCGAACTTTGGTGCCAAGTAGAACCTCAAGTAGCCGCCGGCCTCCAACTTGTACTCAAACAACGCTGGAGTCTTGTCGGCCAACTTGATGGTGATGGTATTAGACAAAGAAGTGGCTTTGATGATGTCACTCAAATACTTCAAGCCGAACGTCAAGTCCACCGAGTTCTCCAAGTTGACAGACACGGACTGGTCCGGGTTGTCGATGTCAGTGAATGGCTTCAAGACCACCGAGCCAGTGCCCGATTCGCCCTCGGCGCTGAATTTCACTGCATCCTTGGTGACGGTGATATTAAGCGACTCACTGAGATTCTTCAAGTCTCTGACCACCTTGGCAAACTCCGAGCTGGCCATGTTGACGACGGAGTCGTACTGCATGTCATCGATTCTCAAGAACTCGGAGTCGATGTCCATCAACTTCAACGAGTATTCAGACACCCTCTCTCTCTTCTTGTCCTCGAAAATGGTGACCACGTTGTCGGGAGAGTCCTCGGCCAACAAGGTTAAGTAGTCGTCATTGTTACCGCACTTGATGATCTTGGAGAAGGAGTCCAAGTCAATTCCCAAGGTGATGTCACGATCGCATCTGTACTCAGCAAAGGCAGACAGACCAACCAAAAGAGACACCAACAAGACTCTGGAGTCGTCCACGGCCTGGACAGTGATGCCGTGCTCGGTGCAGTTGAAATTGCAGAGCTTGACGCAGTCCTTGATGGATTCCACGATTTTTTTGAGGAGAACGGCCTCGTCGATTTTACCTTCAAGCATAGTGTGAGTTTTAGAGTTGTTGGGGGAGAAAGAAAAAAGAAGATGCCGGGAGCAAATTTGTAGGACGCGTTCGCGGGAGCGCGTGTATGCCTCGCGTCAGCGAGACGCGGGTCACGTGCACCGGTTTTTCGAGACGGGCGCGCGGTGCGACACGTGCCTGCTCCTCCGATTAGGGCCACGTGACCCTGGGGTGGGCCACGTGACCCTGGGATGGGCCGGCGTACTTGGCTTGTTCCAGCGGGATTTGCATGGGCGTTTGGGCAAGCGTGAGGGGTGTTTATTTCGCCGAGTGTCGTGGTCTTGAGTCTGGCCCAGCACATGTGCCGTGGTCTCGTCCATGCTGCAAGACGGTCTCTGGGAGTCTCGTACGATGGACCCTAACAACTAGGACACGGTCTCGCCCGGTCCGCCTCGTCATATATACGATAGAAACCGCCCGAAAAGTAGTCTCTGCTTGTCCCCAGCCCAGGCACACACAAGCCCCGGCGCTCGCCACCTCAGTGCGGGTGAAAGCACCCCCTCACCTGCCGTCAATGCCAGTTGACCGCGTCGCCCCACGCACCGCTACTTCCGCTCACCCATCTCCTTCCCCCAGCGCAACAAGTCTCGTTTGTATCTGTCGGCCTTCACCAAGCCGTTCCGGATGGTGGTGAGGTTCTTGATGTACTCGTTCTGGCGCTGGATGCTCACCTGCAAGTAGTTGATGAGCTCCTGCTGGAGGGCGCCGTACTCGTCGTCCTCCTCGGCAGCCTCCTGCAGCTGCCTCTGCTGCAGACGCTCGTAGATCTCCAACGACTTCGGGAGGGCGAAAAACGGGTCCGTGACCTCGCCCGCGCCCGCGCCGTCGGGCTGCCCCGCCGCGCGGGTGATTCTTTTGTTCTCGAACTCCTCGGGCTCGGCCACGGGCCTGTCCTCGCCATGCTCCGGCGAAGCCGCGGGCGGCGTGTCGTCCAAGCCGTGGTCGTACAGCGGAAGCCCCATGTTCTCCTCGAGCTGGTAGAACCAGTCCTCGCCGTCCAACACCTGCAAGAGCTTGTTGTAGTGGTTGAGCGTGTTCTGCTCGGTCTCGATGGTGCCGATGATCTCGGCGGCCAACACCGCGAGGCTGGCCAGGCGGTACGTCTTGGAAATGGCCGGGTGCGACGCGAGCTCGGCCGGGTGCGCCAACGGCGCCAAGAGCTCGCCGAGCCGCATTCTCTTGAGCGGGTTCTCCTCGCTGCTGTCGTCGTCGCTGGCGTCGCTTTGCAGATCTCCGCTTTGCAGATCGCTGCCGAGGCCCTCGTCCGCCAGGGCCGCGTCGCCGGGCCGCTGCGAGCGGTGGAAATCGCGCCAGCGGCGTTTGTTGCGGTAGTTGGTGCGCTCAACCACCTCGTTGGTGAGCACGAGGTGGTGGCTGCCGCCGTACTCGACGACTTTAGGTGAGAGCGCGTGGGGGTTGGATTCTGCCGAGGGGAGTTTGTTCCCCCGGTTGTAGCGGGGCAAATCCGAGGGGCGGGCGGGCTGCTGGGCCCGCACGAGGAGCGCCAGCTTGAAGCGGGAGATCACGTCGATGGATTTTGCATCTAGCATTGTGGTGGTGGTTGAGGGCTGGGGCAGGCGCTGGGGGAAAGTAGTAGGCGGCGCCGGCGCGCTGTCTGCAGGAGCAGCTTGGCGTTCCCGGGCCGGTCGTGGGTGGTGTTTGGTTGAAGTGAGTGGGGTGATGCTGGGCGGCGGGGCTTCTGATCTGGTGCTTTGATGCGACGTGCTGTGGAAAGGTGAAGCCGGGTTTTTTGCTTGGGTTGTTTGGTTGTTCATAGGGTTTGGGGTGGCTTGGGTCCCTGCGCGACTCAGTTATTAGGGTATGCTTGGTTCCATCCGAGTTGGTCATTTCGTTCAGGAGTGTAATCTATTTATTTGGTTTGCTGGGCTATTGTTTCATTTGGCGTGGCTTGATTTGATGCATGACTCGGTCTATTTATTCGCCATAATCGATTCCATTTGAATTGGTCTAATTTCTTTGTTGAGCTCTGTTGGCTACTCAGATGTGCGATACATTTATTTGATTTGCTCGGCTATTATTTGGTGTGACTTGATAACTTGCAAGGCTCAGAATTTTCATGATTTTCTATGTTCAATTCCAATCGAATTAATCTAACTTAATT